GGGTCAAGTTGGCGTCCGGAGTCACATGTTGTTTCAGGACGTTGTGCCGGTATATCCACTCTTTGATGCACGAGGGTCCTGTCATTGACGCCACGGAGGATGTCCTTCAGCCACTTCCATGTATTCTCGATGGTCTGCGTGTGCACCCTGAATGGACGTTGACCCTGCAACTGCTCCAGCATTGGACCTACAAACTGGTGGTCTTTCAAGACATCTTTCATCGAACCTTCCCTCTTGCACCCAAAATGGGTCCTGTTCCCGGGGAGAGTCCAAAAAGTTGGTGCTATGGTTGACAGCGCCATGACCTGCAAATACTTCACCGACCCTGTTGTAGGCCCGCCATAGATCGCTGCAGATGTACGTCTCTGGGTCGATGTATTGCTGCATCATGGGCAGCAGCGTGTCGGCTGTACGGTCAGGGACTTGAACAGCTATGCCACCAAAGACCCAGAGGTCGCGTCGTCTCGCCCATTGGCCACTAGTCTGCCTCTATGATTCTTTTGCCGGAACAGGCGAGTCTCGTCGATTTCGACAACATCGTGTGGTCCTCCCAACATCTGAAATGAAAAATATAAATTATTAAAACAAAAGTGTTTACCTAACTTATTCCTAAGACATTCCAAGATAAGGGACCATTGTAATGCTTAGTTTCGGCTACTTCATTTTAATGTATCAGTTAGACAAACAGAGCAGTAGACAGACACCACCTCAGTAAAGTGTAATGGTATATTATACTTAGATAAATGGGTCAGTACTAGTGCATGCATATGGTTATATTGTTGAAAGTTAATATCAAACTGAAAGGAATTTTAAGTAGAACTTGTTACCAATTGATATGTACCATAATTTGAATATAACCATGCGCCATTCCACATATATTTATTTTCTTTACCTATATCTGTATTTGATACAAAACACTTTGAGATACATCTAAATCAAAACAGAAAAGATTAGTTAACATTTTTCACTTAGTGATTTTATAACATTTCTTTCAATCTGCCAATTGCCTAACCCTACCTCATATGCATGCCAGGCTGCCTTATGGGTGACGTCCCGAAGAAATCCATACCAATAATGGACGGTCTCGAGGCTGACGTTAGCAAGCAGTTGAAACGCTTGAAATAAATATAGAACAAACTTTGTAGATGATGTTTGGTCAACAGTTTGTGTATTCATTGACATACCTGAGGAGAGCAAGATTGGGTGTGTAATAAGAAGTAACTCATAAAATATATAACCTAAATTGTTTTTAAATGTTGTTTAACTATACTCGTGACATTACTTAACCTGGCGATTTTTTTTACAAATGAACTTCGAAATTAGTTAAATTAAAGCGTTATTTTAATTAATTCACCTGTTGATTTTGATGTTCGCATCAACAACAAGAAAGAAATTTGAATGACAAACCCGCAGCCATTTTCTACATCATTGCACCTGAGGAAAAATGTATTGTAAATATTACACATTTAATAATTAAAATAAGGTCAATTAATATTTGGTTGTAATAAGTCATACAAGCAACAATGCCAATTCTCTACCAGTTTTGATTATTAAAATTAAAATAAACAATTGTTTTTATCAAAGCAATACATACATTCATTTATACTGGACTCTCTTTCAATTTTATATTAATTATGTTATTTATTTAAAAAAAAGAATACAGGGTGATTCAAAAAGGACTTTACAACTTTGGAAATTCATATAAATCTTATTAAACAAGGCACAGAGCTGGTTTTGGTGTTGTTTTAAAGGAAAACACTTCAAGTTTTTTTACCTTAAACTAAAGATATTCTATGTGACTTCCGTTGGATTTGGGGAAAATATTATTTAGGTATGAAAAAATAGTGAAAACCGTTAAACATTTGAGAGAAATTTACAAAATTTTGAAAGTAGGGCGTTTTTTGACGGTGAAGGAGTGCGATACACCCACTTCTAGATGTGCTAGGGAGTTGAAGTTTCGCACACTTGTAGTTCTTGGTCCCAAACCACCCATAAAATTCCAAAAAGTCGCATTTTCAAATTTTAACCCCCCCCCCCAAAAATCCAAAATGGCGGACCTCTGAAAACGACAAAACACGTTTTTTTCAAATGGCTATAGCTCGAAAACGGTGAGAGCTAGAAAAGATTTGAGGAAAAAATGTAGGTTCGGAATTAAATTCCCTACAAGCACGTAATATGCATTTTTCGAAAATCGCACTCCTTCGCCGTCAAAAAACGCCCTACTTTCAAAATTTTGTAAATTTCTCTCAAATTTTTACGGGTTTTCACTATTTTTTCATACCTAAATAATTATTTTCCCCAAATCCAACGGAAGTCACATAGAACATCTTTAGTTAAGGGTAAAAAAACTTGAAGTGTTTTCCTTTAAAACAACACCAAAATCAGCTCTGTACCTTGTTTAATAAGATTTATATGAAATTTTAAAGTTGTAAAGTCTTTTTTGAATCGCCCTGTACTATATTCCTATTATCAACAGCAGGCCTTCCTAAAGTTGTAGATGAGAGTGTTTTGCGTGGGGCTGAACCTCTTTCTACATCCTCGGCTGCAGTATCGCCACCCAATTCCTTTGTTGGGCTCGGACCAGGTAGACATAGGTGGGGCAGCGTCCCCACAAGTAGGGCAAAGCATTTCGGCACCCCTCCTAGGAATTACCCTCGTAGCACAGAGCATTTCCAGTCCTCGCTGGTTCGCCCGCCGTTCTTCGCCAAAGTAGGAACCTGTTATTTCATTTTTTTTACTAACGGTGGAGTTCATGGAAAAGCAGTCTAAAGCGTTGTTATGAAATATAAGGCAAAAAGATGTTTTCCCACCAATAGGATAGAAAAATAACATAGACCATGTAAACATAATACAACAATTCAATTATTTCAATTCAATCATAAAAGAAAATTATTTGAATAACAAATATTAACTTACTTACAATATTCCAGACAGGTGGTGTTGCTAGTTTTTACAGGTATTGCCACTAGTTAGGCATCCAGATGTAAGCTGAGTGTTTTATTTGAATGAAGATGATGAAAAACATAACAAAACGAAGGTGACAGGTAACAAATTAATATCCGTTAGGTCTGTTGTAATATGAATATTATGTAAAACCTAAAAAAAGATCACACAACACCAAAAAAGCGCATAACATATTTCAACATATTAAACATGTAACAAGAATATATAAAATACTCTCAACAACCTAACAACTACATAAGAAAATCAACAAAGAAGATGAAATATTGTAACTTATTAAATAACATGGACAGAAGCTGAAGAAAAACATAACAAAACAAAGGTAACAGGTAACAAATTAATATCTGTTAGGTCTGCAATATGAATATTATATACAACCTAAAATAATACAATCTTTTATTAGCATACCGTCAACCGGGGCTACTTTATAAAAATTTTTTTGAATAACTGTAATAACTTTTTTATTTATAATGGTATATATATATATTTTATATCAAATTGTCTGGATTTGCATGAGCTATTGAGCTATGTAGTAAAAAAAAATTAATTGCTTATGTACAATAAAAAAAAAAAAAAATGTAGGCCTACCTGTAAAAAGTAGCCCCGGGTTCGGGGCTACTTTATTACAGTCACTTGGGATACCAATAACTCCAAGATGGTTAGTCTTAGGGGTTACTTTATAACATGCATTTGAAAGCTGGGGCTATTTGGAACAGTTTGGTGGAAATTGCATTTTTCTATCTCTATTACTTTAGAAGTTACAGCAAATTGGAAAAACCGTTGCGCGGGGAACTTTGTACACCATAAGGGTTTTGTAAAGTATATATATATAAATGAAGGAAAGTATATAGAGCTGTAATGATGCATGCAGTGAGTTACCAAAGAGTTTAACTTAACTAAAAAAAAATAATAATTAGCTCTAAATTACCTGTGTTTTTTTTGTCTTGTCCGGGAAAATTGGCTCCAGAAGCAAGGGTCGCCATGCCCTTTCAGATAAAAATCTGCTGTAGCTGTAAGTAGTCTGTTACTTATTCTATTTTTTCTAGTCCTTCAAACTTGTGTGGAAAACTTAACAGACCTCTTCTATTAAGTTTGGGCTCATTCAGCACTGCCACAATATCAGCAAATGGCATGTTCAGGTCTTCATCGAGTAGTTCCGGCCAGTGGAAAACATTAACAGTTCCCGGCACTTTTCGAAGGAACCGTACGTCACAAGCATTTGGTAATGGGTCCCCATATGTCAACAAAATTTCACCAACATACATTTTTTTCTTATGTTTAGTTTCATATGAAACTATAACCCACGCTTTAGGTTTGATTTTCTGCTCCAAAGTTTCTTTTGTGTCGAAGTTTATCGGGACAAATTCATCGTTTTTTTCTGTAGCATCATACTCCCAATCTGAATCTATTTCTTCTTCTGCTATTGCTGATTTCAAAACTGAATCAGACTCTGTATTTTCTTTTTTATCTTCTTCGTTCCTTCTTTCACGTTTGCTCTACCGGTACCAGTACCACGAGGCCTGCCAACCTTTTTTGAAGTGTCGGAACTTTTTCGAAGTGTTGGGACAAGACCTTTTACTAAAGGTACAGAAGTGTCTGGTCGTGATGATGATGGCTGATCTAGAGGTATTATATCTGTGCACTCATTTCTTCTAGATCAACAGACTCCAAATCTGAATCTGTGTGTTTTTCTTTTTTAATACCACCAGTATTCTTTTTTGGTTTTTGTACCGGTACTTTTTTTCTGCCAAGAGGTCTTTCAACTCTTTTCTTTGAAATGTCTCGAAGAGATGAAGATGGTTCGTTTAAGTCTAAGAAATCATTCGATGTAACACTAACACCTGCTGGAACGTCTATCAGTTTCTTCCTAGGTTTGCGGACTGGAGTGGAGTGCCGCAAATCTTTCAAAAAGTCGATCATAGTAGCAGACACATTCGGTGATAGTGTTGCCGGGTTAGCGTCAGGTAGTTTTTTCAAGACCTGGTCCATATTAAATGGCCTTATGCCTGTTGTTGCAAAACCCGAGCGGATTGTCTTACTTAAGGTAGGTTCCATTTTTTTGAGCATTTTTTTAGCAACCCCGGGAATTGGTCCTTAGGCAAACTTGTCAAGGATTTCCCTTCTCTTGACTTCCACTCTAGTAGGACAGTTCGCCATACTCGCTTCATAGGTGCAAAAACAGCTACATCTAGCGGCTGCGTTAGATGAGTGCTATTTTTCGGCAAACAAACAAAGTGAATATCATATTCCTCACACTTTTTTATGACATCGGGGCAAAAGTGCGAGCTCAAGTTGTCCCCAATCAACATCTTGATTCCCTCACGGGATTCAGCCCATGGCAGGACAATTGTTGTGAACCATTCATGGAAGGTTTCTTCGTCGAACCATCCACTCTTTGTGGAGTTGTATCGAGCATACTTTGGACCATTTTTAGTCCAAGTTGACCACTTATGCTGACCTTTGTATACCACATAGACTGGTAAGTCGTCTCCCCCGTCAGTTACTGCAAACATCACTGAAAAAGCTGTTTTGGTAAAATTTATTATACGTTCAGCTCTTTTAACTTTGCGTCTATATATCATTTTGCTACATTTAGGATCATCGCTGAAGTTGGTTTCATCATAATTAACGATGTTTCCTGGTGGAATGTTAGGAACAACTTTGCCCAGATTCTTAAAGTATTCTTCGATTACATCCCGAGATACGGCTGCTCGGGTTTTTTTTATGTTTGTGCAGTTACGAGCCTTCAAAGTGGCACTATTTCTCTTTAAAAAAGAACTCACCCAGTCAGGTCCTGGTCTTGTACCGTTTTTAAAGCAGGGAACTTCTCGGCCAATTGAGTTGAGGTAGGCTTCAATGATACACTGGAGTTGAAATCCAGATACTGGAAACCCCCAATCACCCACAGTTGCTAAATTTTCACACAGCATGACCTCTTCTTCACGTGTAAATACTGTTGGGTGGCCAGGAGTGCGCAGAGTTACTTGTGCCGGTACAGTAATTGGATGTGGTGGCGGGTTCCTGTTTTGGTCTTGATTTTGAGGTTGGCTTTCAGGTATTTGTCCATCGTTCTGGTGGCAGTAATTGAATAAAGTCATATGCGATATATTGTATTTTACGGCTGCCTTTCGTAAACTTAACTTTTTAGTTTTCACATCATTCACTGCTGCTTGCAATGTCTGTAAACTAAAGTTTCTGTAAGGGCGTGCACCCAGTTTTCTTTTGTAAGTTCGTACCATGTTTTTAACACTACTATCAATAACGTACCACTAATTTTAAATATACTAACAACTGTTCACTACTAGCAGATACACTACCAACTGTTCACTACTAGCAGATACACTACCAACTGTTCACTACTAGTACGAGTGGTACAAGTCAAAGGGGTATTCTTGTGCTACAGTTAAATGGTAAGCTTGTGCAAACACATCAAGAAGCAACCTGAAACAAAGTAAACCAGTTAGGGACTGAGTGACAAGAGCAAGGAACACATCAAGCAGCAACCTCTCACAAGTTAAACATGTATTGAGGGGGTTATAATTGATTAGGTGGTAAAAGCAAGCAGGATGGGGCATGAAAAAATTAAAATAAGCAGTGTACAAAGTTACCCCGGGTTTTAACAATTTGTGTACCTTTTTCAAAAAAAAATTTTTTTTATTAATGATAATTTTTTTTTTTGTAACATATTTGGTATTTTTAGAGTCCCAGAAAGTGGGGTAACAACATATAAAAGTTACATCTTATGATCATTTATGCACTTAGCTGTGCATGCGAAAGTTTGGGTACAATTTTTTTCCCCCGAAAAAAAGTACCTTCAGTTTTTAATTTTTAATTTTTAAATCCTAAACAATAATATGTTGGGATATTTTTTTTTCAAAAAGAATATAAGTTTACCTTTATTTTAATATGCTACACTTAAAAAAATAATAAAAATTACGGGAATTATGATTTTTTAAGTAGTTTTTTGAAAGTTTGTACTAAGTAGCCCCATGTACAAAGTAGCCGGTACTGCTCTACATACATACGTAACATTGGCAGACTTCGATGTTGTCATGCATGAGCTAGGGGGCCTGGGGGTGGAGCCCCCATCGAGCCAAATGCGAGTTGCTATTATACGCTTTCTCCTCAGCACACCCCTAGGAATCGGAAGAAAATTGTTAACGTAAGAATAGGTCGATATACACATCAAATTAAAGGTCTTCACTTTTAGATTACGAAGCCGTAAATTCAAGCTCAAAAGAATGCCTGAGTAAAAAATGGCAGTCGTTCAAAGATTCAAAATGGCGGATTCAAGAAATCTTTGAACATCTGCCATTTTGTGCAGGATCAACCTTTTGAAGTGCGGTTTGCGGCATTTTATTCTACTAAAAAAGACCTTTAATTTGATGTGACCTATGCATATTGACCTATGCTTCCATTTAAGATTCTCTTCTGACTCCTTGTGGGACGTCCCCCTAAAGAGTTATTGAGTCACTGAATATGTGTTAAAATAGAGTTTTATGCCCTGTAACTTTGTACTAAGTATTTTAGCTCTATCTCCATTATTTTTTTTAAATATTTAACCGTTCCGGGACTTTTCAATCACACTGTATACATTATGCTAATATTATTTACGACATATACAATTTTTTCATTGTTTTTCCTTTTTTGCCAATGAATAGAAACTATTCGATGTCAGATAATTTATTTTTGTAAAAAAATACAACCGACTTCAAACGCTCTAAAAAGAATGAAATTATTTCAATAAAGTAAACTTTTGTATTAGGCAAGCTCACGTATTTTAAGTCGGCGCGGCTCTATGATGATTTTTGATACAGAATTGAAAGAGGGTGTCCATATTGCAGGTGACTATCTATAACTAAAGGCGTTAATCTGCATGTCTTTTTCATAGTTATGCGTTAAGTGTTATTTTATTACCGTAATCAGAGATCGGCAGTATAGTGGTATTAACAAGTATCTTTAAAAAGATTATAACGCATTTAAATGTTTCTAACTTGGAAAAGTTACGTTTTAATACTAAACTAGCTTCTTTTTCCTATCATAATATCAAACTAAATTATTTTCCTATTCATATAGAACATTTGTGTGTGTTATTTTCATAATGCATTTATTCTGAAGTAAACATAAAATACAAGAAAATATTTCCTTTAATATATAAACAAAACAGTTCAGTATGTTTTTTATATATTTTGTTATCCAGCTACAATTTATTGATTTTCAAAATACACAGACAATATTTAATTTCAATCATATTTGCAGTTTGAGCCGCGCCGACTTGAAATACGTGAGCTTGCCTAATACAAAAGTTAACTTTATTGAAATTATTTCATTCTTTTTAGAGCGTTTGAAGTCGGTTGTATTTTTTTACAAAAATAAATTATTTCATGATTTTTAGTGACTGTATAATTTTTTTTATATTAATTACTTGAGGATTTTTTATAAGCAAAACTGTTTGAAACAATCAAAAGTTCCACAGAACAATCGTTATTTTAAAACTGCTTGAGTCACCTGTTCAGGTTACATAATCAATGGGTATGAAAATAAACATCTTTAGATATTCCTTAAGAAAGAAAGAGTTGTCCATTACATTAGGCCTAATGAAAAACTAATTGTCTTTTCTAGATACATTGAAATGTCAGACATCATCGTTTCCTGCAATCGGTGTACTTCTACATTATAAAAAGAAATACAGTAACGTCACAAGCCTTTTGGAACAATATGAAAGTTATTCCTCAGCTACGAGCACTAAAAAATCTCTCAAAAGTGGAAAATTGGTCGTTAACACCATAGTACCTTTCGTAGTACCTTTGGAAAATATTATATGAAGGATTGGTTCAGCTGAAAGTGGTGTAAGTCATGTAGGGGGTTTTGTTTGCTCAAGCCTAGTCGAAATTGCAAATCATCTTTCTCTAGGACTTTCCGAAGCAGGCATAATAGTATTGATATGATATAGTAACTGGGTAGAGAATATCAATAAACATTCCACATCTGCAAATGAATGTTTAGTAATTAAACTATTCAACACTTTTAAGACAATTGACGATTATGCACTGTCACACTTCCTAGGTCGTGTAAGGAATAATTGCATTTGATTTATATTTAGACCTGTTTTACGAATGCTTTGGTTTTCACAATACACATTTATTTGTCAATATCATACAGCTATTTACTGAAACATATATGTTTTTGTAAGTCAGAATATTCAATACTAAAAACAGAATTACTGTATACAAAAATTAGGTCAAACGTTAAAGGGTCATTTTAATTCGGGACAAATTGACTTCAAATATCTTCTCAAAAAAAAAAATAGTGAAATTTTTTTTTTATACATTCTACTGACATGTCAAATCAAGATACAATATGTGTCCACGCTGTAGACCCCATTTTTTGGCGGGAAAAAATTTTTGATTTTGACTAGGGGACACGCCGTTACAAAACTATGGGACCGATGTTACGCATGCGGGGACCGACGTTACATCAAGACTCAAGACCATGAAATCGTCATTAAAATAAAGATAAAAACTTATTTAAACCTATATTTGTTCCTTTTAGGCCATGGTGTTGCGTTTATATATACTGTCAATGCATTTTATCATCATAAAATAATCACTAATACAAATGCAGAGAAAATCAACAAAGTTAATTAACCTTTCTTATGAGAACAGAGTGTTTTGAGGTTTGAAAATAAATACAACTACTTTCAAAAAACAATTTTAGTAATTGCACTTACAAATTATAATAGGCAGATCATAAGTCATTTAAACAAGTTATTGTTAACAAGATAGTATTAAATAAGTCGAGTCATCATCAACTATTTAATTTGTACTTAAAAAACCTTCTATAGTCTTATTTCATCAGTCTCAAAGTTACTTTTTCAGACTTTTATTCAACAATATAAAAATGTTTCAAGTGAACTATATTAATAAATTTAACTTTTAATAGTCGTACATAAAAATAGAATATATCTGTATAGTAAAAACGACAAACGAATGAAGAAACAATAGACAAATATTGGCTGACAACATTATGAATAAAAAATAAGTGACGCAGTTATATTGAAAAACTATTAAAGTAACTGCGATTGTAGGATAAAATAAAAACAATGTTCTGTTATTAATTTGAACTAAAATAAATTCACTCTTTTTCAAAAACGAAGGCTGAAAAAATGTTTTTTACAGTTACTGCTTCAACTCATTCTCGCACAACTCGTCAATGTATTCAGTATTGTCGAACACGTAGTTCCGTGATGATACTTTTCTGGGTCCCCCGTTCATCAAGCATAAGATTGAATTGCGTGTGATTGTTTGGATATCCGGTTTTGCTGGCCACTGGTAGTTGATTCCATTCTTAGTCATGAAAGAAATAGTCACGTCATCATTTTCAATTTTAACAATTTTTCCTGTAAACAAGCAGATTTATCATAATTTTGTTGAGGGAAGCATTGACATTCATATGATTAATAACAGGCAACAAAAAATATTAACTGATTTTAAATCTGTTAAAACATGATGCACGTTGTCATTTTCAATTCTTACGATTTGTCCTGTAAACAAGCATTTTCAATACATTCAAAAAAAGAGTTAGGCATTTAAGTGTCACTAATATAAGAAAAAAGTGATTGAGTAGGGTACCTTTTACAGGTACGATTTAAATAAAATACGCAATGGCAAATACATATTTCTTACAGATAAAAAATTAATACCTTACCTGGATACCAATTAAAGTCATAGATAACAGTGACGTAGGATCCCATCTCTAGGAATTCGGGGATATCATTGCTTTGGTTAGACTCTGGTGTCTTCTTTTTCTGGAGTTCAATGGTGGTTTGTCCAGATATGCAAGTATTGTTACACCGTTCAAACATGCAAGAGGTGCATGGCAGTTCCCGAAGTTGTATTTCGTAGGGCTTTGTACTGGTCCAAGTGATCTGGTGTACCTTTTTGATTCCTGGAATTACATGAGGTTTTGCCCCAGCTAACAATCCTTGCCACTCGACAACTTTGTGGCTTTGTACCTCAAACAGCTCGATTGATTTACAGTTTAGTTTTGCCATTTCGATGAAGTCAGATGTATCTATGATGTCATTGCCTCTAAGAAC